GGTTTATGTTTGGGATTGGCACAGATTATATAAAAAAGAAGAAGCTTTTTTTTATTTACTATGTCTGGCACCAGTAGATATTTTCCAGATTAAATTAACTGAGCAAAACCTTTTTCTGTCTACATGTAGAACTGGACTCATGGCAGCTGCAGTGAGATGAATGTGGGGATCTGAATGAACTTTTAATGTGTTTAGCTTTCTTTAAGATTAAATGCTTTGATTTTCACTGAACTAAAGAATCAACCATTTTTAATTATGATGTAAATCCATCAGCCTTTGCCTGTGCATCTTTTGCACGGCTGCAGTGCTGCGTGTGCACAAATATCTATGTTTATCATATTTTTCTTTTGACTTGGTCAGTTTAGGTGAAGAGTAGTAACGGAGCTAGCCAAAACACCGACACCACTGTGTCTGCTACATAGCAGCAGCATAGAGTAAACAAATCATCAATTTACCTTATTTTGATGTTTTCTCTTTTACAACGGGGTTTAGTTGACCAACAATGAAAAACTGTTGGTTGTCCGCTTTTGGGCACTCTGCTCATTTCCTTTGAACCACACTCAACCCAGCAACTGTTTCCTCAACAATCTGTACACGCACAGCCGTGAGCCGGCCACTTGTACAGACAGTGGGTGGGTGATACCAAGTTTTTTTGCAGGGGAGGGGTCGGGGGGGTTGCATTAAAACATGCAGCAATTTTACTAAAAAATGTAAACGAATAAAGAAAATCAATTATTGATGTAATAAATGTATACTTAAATTATGCAATTTTACTGGGGGGTTATATTGACTGGATCAAATTATTGGGGGGTTATAACCCCCCTATCCCCCGTGTAAATTACACGGGTGGCGGAAACTGTTAGTTTCTAAAGCTTAGAGAATCTATGGTCCGCCCTAAGACATTTATGTATATTCATATCTGTATGAAATAGTTTGTGGTTATGTACTTTTTTTGTGAGAGCTCCTGTCTTGTCAGTGAAGGGCCCTTGGAAATGTCCTCTGGAGACACTGGGACCGCCAACTCTGGAGACACTGGGACCGCCAACTCTGGAGACACTGGGACCGCCAAAGGAACTCCCGACAACAAAACGGGTGGGAGAGTGGGTTTCAGGATGCTCAGCCAGGATCCACTGAGCATAGTTGCTGACCCTCTGGTGGCCAGGCAGCAGCAGCAGATCTGGACCTACTGCCAAAATGTCCTCAATCTACTGGCAAAGGGGCAGCTTACCAGCGAGGGAGGAGGTCCACTGGAGGATTATCAGAGAGCTTTTAATCAGAGAGTGCGTCACCTGGTCCTCCCATGGCGACAGCGACGGGACGGCGCCTCAGAGGCAGGGGGAGGAGAACCGGCCGAGGGGGACTCAGGTGACGGAGGAGATCCCCAACAGAAAGTGGAAGGCTGGACCACCAACCCCCAGTGGAAGGTGGAGGAGGGCTGGACCTCAAGGAAGTAGCGAGGAGCAGAAAAAAACTTGCCTGCAGGCTGGGTTCGATGGTCAGTTCATTCTGTGAGGTTGAGTCCAGGTAGAATGACCCAGGACGCAGGCAAAATCCAAACTTCAAAAAAAGGTATTTTAATAAACAAAAGGATGGCTGATGAGTCAGCAAAAACTTGCAAACAATCTCAGGGAAACTTGAGAAACACGGAGGACAACCACACTGACTGGTAAACAGCACAAAGAACCGACAAACACTGAACACAGGACACACAATATAAAGGCAAACTAATGAGGACAAATGAGAAACACCTGGAGGAGACACAAGAAGAAACAGGTGAGCATGGGCGGGGCTGCAGGGCAGAGAAACACTGGGGAACACTGAAAACTAAGGAAAATAAACACAGAGCATGACAAGCTGTTGTAGGATGTAGGTATGGCGTGAATAAATATGTACTTTGACCATATCCACAGCCACCAAGTCCACTATGTTGTCCTCAAACTGAGCACACAAATGAAGAATTCAAAGAAATTTTTTAATCACCATTTGCACTGAAAACCCCAAATTAGGTGTGCATACACCCTGAACATGGACGGTAAAGCAGTTCATATGGTTCCTCTACTCCTCAGCATCAAGAGTTTTTGGACACTTAATGGCAACTTGACATTTATCTACACAACGAATCACTCCTGGTAGGTTCCCATATTCATGAAACCACACTTTGTGGTTGGTTTACTCAGCAGCATCAATGAATTTGATGTGCAAGTGTCTCACATTACAAATGCCACAGCAGACTTTTGACTACCGTACAGATGCTTCAATGGAACCACACTAATCACCGGTTTCACAATGAAAGTTTCAAAACACCAAGAATCTCAAAGTGATCAGAACCTGGTGCAGGCCATCCGTGTTGATTAGAAGAACATCTAGCCTCAAGCAAAGTAATTAATTTTGGTGCATTTTCTTTGTACAAACAAAAGCAAGTCTCAGAATATTATTTCATCGAAGAGGATGAGTAGATTACTTCTATCCACAAGTGCTCTTCTGGCTGGCCTCTGTAGTGTTTATTGGTCTTCAGATATTTTAAATTTCCATGCTGACAAACCATCTGCGTTCCCTTTCACAAACAAAACCAAGCAGACTTTTAACAAGCTTCTTTGAAGGATTAGTTAAGGAATCAGTTTGGTCTCAGAGTAGCTCCGATCCACCTTCTAGTTTTAATATGGAGCAGACTAAATCTTTCAGGAAAAGGCTGTGAAAGGGACTTAGAGTTAAACCAACACAAACAGTAATTAGATCTGGGACTAACCTAAGAAGAATCTTGCCTGCCATCTGCTGGACACTTTTTGTTGTGCTCATATTTAGACATCCTATTTTGCAAATGCTGCCTTCCTGAAATTTGGTATGCTTGTTTGTCTTTGTGTCTAGGGTGTATAATGATGTGATTGTGATGCTGTAATTCTGAGTGTTTTATGTGCTGCAGAACAGGAACCTGCTGTAAAGCAGCAGTTATGCTGAGTCAGGCTTGATTTTTAGTAATCTTTTCCTGTTAAATCAATAAATCAAATCAAATCAAACCTTAAGCCTTGTCTGTGGAACTGGCCTGTACGTACTGCTACAAAATGTCATAGCATGCTTCTCCCTATCGAGCCATAAGTTTTTTGTAATTTTTGGATGGGTATTTTATTCAAGAAGACTACTGATGAAAACAAATGAGTAATGAACGCACTCCATTAATGACAACAGAAAAACATCCAAAAACTGCAACACATTGTATTCAGTTTAATTATACATAACATTTGTTAAATACATCATTTCTCACAGTTAATTAAACTTTTTTCACACACTTAATGAAATGAGCTTCGTCTCCTCTGTGGTTTAAATTTTAAAACGGCGTAATGCAGCCATGAGTCCACCAACCATAAAGTCCTCCTCAGACAGAGGGACAGCCCAGGCAGAGCTGAGAGGTAAGTCTGTCGTCTGACGTTCTGCAGAAGTTTAGATGCCAGTTCTATCAGCACCAGCATCCAGACCAGACTGCAGCAGAGCTGAGCTTGCTGAGAAGTCCTGAACCTGCGGGTCTGCTGAGGCCAACGGGACACCAGGGTGGCCTCCAGTCCCAGCAGAGCCAGCAGGAGCAGAGAGGCAAGGTGGTGAGCATCCAGCAGCTCCTGGCAGAATGCGCTCACTGTGTCCCTCACAGGACTCACCTCGGCCTCGCAGCCCGCCTCCCCCTCCGTCCACCAACACAGGGCCATCCCCAGCTGAAGAGCCCACTGCAGCAGCAGCAGGCCGTCTGTGAACGCCAGCTGGGCCAGGAGCACCGTGGAGGGTTTGGTGGAGACGTGGGGGGAGTGCAGCAGCCACAGAGCTCTCAGGCTGAACACACAGCTCACCAGCATGGGGAGGCCAGTCCCGTGGGGGAACAGCAGCACGGTCACCAGCTTCAGCAGGACGAAGCGGCGCAGCCATCCCCTGGAAGCGTGGACCCCTCCCTCTGTGACTGACCCAGGCCAGCACTGGGCGCTCATCTCCCACACTGACTCCCACACTGACCTGCAGAGAGTTCAACACACTGGTTAGCTCTGAGTGAAGCTCACACCTTCTTTGTAAATATTGCCTCTGCACCATGGACAGGTTCAACACTTCTTGTCTGGCTCTCATCACGTTCTGTTTGTTTGATATCTTTATAAACAGTATAATACAATGGGCCGCATGTTTGCAGTGACGGCTGGTATAAGTGGGCTAGTAGGGCTAAGCCCTCCCAGGTGTTCACAATAAAAATGTTAAAATAAACAATATTCTATAAAAATAATATAATTATAAAAAAATTATAAAAACAAATAAACACAATTTAAAAATAATGTATCTTATTTTGTGAAATTTACAAGAAAAACTGGTGCCAAACCAAGGAGGTCCTATAGAACAGGGCTTCTTAACCTTTTTGACCTTGGGGCCCAATTTGTTAAACATAAAGTGACACGAGGCCCAGTCAGACATTATCAATGTACGGATCAAAATGATAATTATTCTAAATCTTGGTTTAATTTTTATTGTATTTACATTATAACTAAACTATCATAACTAACATAACTAAATTAAATACACTTACAGTTTAAAAGTAAAACTCCTGTCAAATAATCACAAGACATGATTATGACAAACAATTTTTTATTGTAACCTGACCATAACAACTATTTGAACAAACATAAAGGTCAGGCAACAGACCACTCAGCCTTATCAGCACACACACACACACACACACACACACACACACACACAC